CTAGGTCTCTTTGCAATAGGACCCTTGCTGGTCAACTGTAAGCAGATGCCTTAGAAAATCAGGCAGGTTCTCCAGGCAGAGACCATCAGCAGCCCCAAACCAGGGCTTCCCAGATATGTCTGAGGACAATATGGTTGGCAATTATACCTTCTGTGACAGATGCACTCTGGATTCATGGCAAAATCCAGAGAATCCTTCTTTTTTAGTATTTGCATCTTTACTCCCATGCTCCCAAGACTTTAAAGACTATAGTTTAGATTCCCATTTCCTGTATTGAGAAAAAATATTACCTGGAATTCCAAGAGTGCTGTCTCCTTTATGATATTAATTCCAATTCACACTATAACTCAGACTTCTCAGGCATAATCATCTCTGTTCGTAATGCAATCAGAAGAGGCTTTGCCATGTCTGTGCTGCTGGGGATGAGGAGAAGGAAAGACAGTTAAGTTAAAGAAGAGGCTTCAGTGTACCTTGTACAAAAACTTTCCAATGACATTCAAAGTGTGGATGCTATTTGGGAAATGTTCTCAGCAGATGGAGGCACCAGGAGGAGTAGCTACGGCAGTGCGGACTCACATTATCTGCTTCCCTGGGGGTTTTTGTTATGGCTTGTAACACTGTGGACGGGGTATTATAATCCTGTCGACAGTAATAAGTTGCAACATCTTCAGGCTGCAGGCTGCTGATGGTGAGAGTGAAATCTGTCCCAGATCCACTGCCGCTGAACTGAGATGGGACCCCTGTATGCAAACTGGATCCAGAATAGAGCAGGAGTGTAGGGGCTTTCCCTGGTTTCTGCTGATACCAGGCTAACTCATTGTTAATGCCCTGACTCGCCCGGCAAGTGATGGTGACTGTGTCTCCTACAGATGCAGACAGGGAGGATGGAGACTGGGTCATCTGGATGTCACATCTGGCACCTGAGTTTGGAAACATAAAAACAAACATCCACACAATCAATCATGTTATAAGAAGCCCTCCCCGAAAATCCAGCCAGTCCTGAGCACAGTGGCTGAGTAAACTCCCAGAGTTCTCCTTCCTTACCTCGGAGCCAGAGCAGCAGGAGCCCCAGGAGCTGAGTATGGACTCCCACGTCCATTCTGTGTCCTGACTGAGACTGACTCCTGCACAGAGTGTGATCAACCTATTAAGAAGTCTTCAGGGCAGGGGGCTGTGCCCTGGGAACATGCAAATCAGAAGGGGATGGGGCCCACTGGGCACAGCTACAGGGCTGGCTCATCTCAGTAACCCAGCACAGGGACAGAGTGCCCAGGGTCTCAGGTCAGACTGGGGCAACCCAGATTTGTCTTTAATCTCTTTCTTCCTGGGGGCCCATTTGTAACAAAGAACATTTTTTGATAATTGTCAAAATTTGAAATACTGCGGAGTACTTGAGGGAGTAATGCATTCCGTTGGCATATGGGGATTATTTGGGAAAATATTCTTCTCTGTAGGAAACTCAAAGTAAAGTTTTTAGAGTGTGGAATCAGCGTGTCTTCAAAACACTCTGAAAGGGAAGGGGGTACTTTGTGCTATGCTTACAACATTTCTGTGAGTGTAAAATTATTCCTTCTTAAATAAATGAAGAAAAATATGTATTGAGATAATGCTAAGCATATTTGTAAGTATTTTATAATAACCTTAAGCCATTCTTATTATCAATACAATGTCAAGCAATTCACTGCAGGTGCACAAAGATGGTGCTATTAAGTCCTCAAAGCATGTATCACTCACAGTTCCACCATTATGCAAACTTATAGGCCTCAGTAATGCCCAAACATTATACGAGCTGCATCTTATTTTTGCTTTGGGGATCTCTCTATTACACCTCCTTTTCTGTCATTGGATATTTTTCCCAGGGTTTATAAGAAGAAAGGGCTCACTAGTGATGCCAGATCTGATTACTTCAAAAAAAGTTACTTGTTTCTTCATCCAATTATAGGACCATGGATTAAGATAAACTTGAAATTATCTAAGGATCAATTGTTTCTAAAATAAAAAGGCCAGTATTATATCCACTGAGTAATGCTCCGAGCAGCACTGCTCACCAGCATGTTCCTGGGGGCTCTGGAGCCTGGATTTCTGGAGAGCACATGAAGGAGAGAACTTGGGAAAGATCAGTACAGTGAACCCTCTCTCCTAGTGAGGGCAGCTGCTTCTCAGTGCATGTGTCTGCCTTGCACTATCAAAGGCACTTTCCTCTTTCACTGTTTAGCAGTAAGTGGGGACATTCTGATCAAGATGCCAGCCTCCTGTCTGATATCAAGGACAGAGAGTCTCCATCTCCTGTCAAGCAAATGCCCATGTATATGGAGAAATCACTTGGATTTGGATAAAACTGGACAGAGATTTGGAACCATTATATCTCACATCATCTCAGCCTGGTTCAGCAGCAGAGGAAGTGGATCCACCTACATCAGCATCAGTGGGCTGCAGCCTGGGGTTCTGGGGAGTATTAGTGATGCCTGAGTAGAAGTGGCCAAATGACTCTGGTGTAGCATCTGCACACACCCTCCTGCTGCCCATTCAGGGGCCTGAATTTTAAGGAAACTTGCTTGTGTAAGGTGAAATGTGAAAATTTGATTTTGCCCTCTAAAGGTTTGCTTAAAATGAATGGACACAAAGTAAATAATAGGAGAAAAAGGCAAACAAATTTATTTAACATGCGGAGGAAATATCAAAGGAGAGAGATTATCCAGAAAACCCAGTGAGATCCAGGTGTTTATACATCCTTTATAGGGAAGAGGGAGGTGGGGACTGTAAGCAACCTAGAGAGAGTAAATGATGTAAAATAAAATAAATGAGTCCTCAAAAAAATAGGTAATACCCTGTCTGGATGAAGTCAACTTCCAATCTCTTTTGAATTTAACTCCTATTGCGTGTTAATATTTCCTGACAGATCAACATTCCCAGGGAGGGTTTTCATGACAATTGGATTCCTTCTGGAGTAAAAGAGACTTTGTCCAATTGATGTTTTCTAAATGCTTTCAGTTTAAAATAAACATTACACAAATGCAGCATATCTGGAGATGTTATTTCCCAGGTTCCTTGACTTGCAACTGACCTGCCAAGAAACATCATTCCAGAGGGATGCAGTTTCAGGTGGAAGATACAGGTACTTTTTTCTGGATGGATGCATCAGTCTGTGTCTGCACCCAGACCTTTCCCTTTCACTGTGCTTCTGCTGATTCCCCATGGCCATCTCTGCCCCTCACTGCTGTGTCTGAGAAAGGCAGCTCTGCCTGCATGCATGGCAGACCACAGGGCTTGGAATGAGCCTTCCATCAGTCAGTGCTATGGTTTCACTGTGTCCCCTCAAACCTATCTGCTGTTAAATTTGATGGAAATTTCCTTTTATCTTTAGAAGAAAACAGAGTTCTCTCCACTCTCTTCCACTCTTACTGCTGAGGATGGGCATCGGGGCGGCCACTGTGAGGAAGGAGGGTGGCTGTGCTCTGAGAGTGGTCATGCCTCCTGCCCACCTGAGTGACCTCATGAAGCAAAGCTACCCACACCACCAAAGCCACCTGACTGTTTCTGACCTGCCATGTCACAGACACAGAAACCTTGTCATATTTAGTCCACCATATCTTGAGGCTGCTTTGTAATTGGCAATTTGATTGTCTTCTGATTCTGCTTGGTGTCCACTTTCAGTTTCTGGAATCATTTATTTTCAACACTTTGATTTAAGAGTGTAGCCCCTTGGGGTATCACCATCATGTAAATTTTGAGCTTATTCATTTTTTAAGCCACCTTGGAGTGGTTTTAGAACTTATCCCCTGTCTCACATGAAAGCAGATTCTATAGTGACTAGGTGCTGTCAATCACATGAGGGCTAACGATGACAATGGCTGCTCACCTCCTGCTCTAGCTACTCACACTTTGTTGTCTCCCACTGCATTCTGTAATACTTCATATCTTTTAAGCTCCATGTTGCATTTAGTAGTACTTTTAAATAGCGTATTATGTGTTGTGCTTTTTAATTTGATTACTCCAGTTCGATTGATTTCTATATAAATTTATCCACACACGTTTTAAATTTAACAAAAATGACACTGAAATTTTAATTGCACTTGCCATGAGATTCATTATCTTGGAGTTGAAAATCATCTCAAATACACTTTAAACCCTATGCCTGAAGCAGGAGCTTCTTATTCTGTTGCTTCAATCATTCTTTTGTTTCTGTCATACCATGTTCTGTCATGTAACTGACATGACTCATCATTAATTTTGATAGAACTTCAGGACACTATTTTCAGTGGAATCAATTGAAAGCATAAGTTTTTTGTGCTTTTACAACTAAAAGAAAGGATTTCTATTTATTTTCTGGTAATGATGAAGTAATATGAATATAAAATATTTTTGTATTATTTGAAGTATTTTCTTATGAGAGCATCATAGTGAATGTGTCATCTCTAAAATAGCACTTAGGTTAAATACTTTTAAATTCTTAAAATTGGGGTGAAGAAGAAAAACATCATACATTATTGCATTTAGTAAAGTCTCTGTTCTACATCTTTGAATATGCTATTTATGTTCAAAACTCACTTTTGGAATTGCAAGAACTTTGTTTCACTGGAAAGAAGGTAATTGAGGAAAATTAAAATATTTTGGCATGAGAGTCTTATATCTGCCGTGAATTTACAAAGCCTATGAATAGCCAACAATCAAACATTTTTACTAATTATTCTTAGCTATCCTACCCTGAGAACAGCTTGTGTAGAATGCTTTCTCAGCATGACACTGGGGAGGGCAGTGTAGTTTATAATTGATAAAGGAGATACAAAGTTTTTGGTAAAGTGGGACAAAAACAGTATCTCAATATGACCAAGTATTATCTTGTATAAGATACACCCTAAACTGGCAGTTTCCAAAATGTGTTCCCCTTGTGTTGTCACTAATCTGCATCTATGGACTGGTTGTTCTGTCAACCAAATGTGTTTGAAAAATGTGGGCAAGATAGGGAGGGTGAGGATAAGATTTTATTCATTCTTTTTTCGTCATAGCTGCTTGCTCACAGGGCATGTGGCCAACTGAATTCTCCTACTGCTGATGTCATTCCCAGGTGGTGGCAGTTGATGGGGCCTTAACATATGAGATTGAGGTACAATTGAGGATTCATGGGCCACAGTTGTTAGCAGCAAACTCTGACCCTGAGTTCTCCAACAGCCTCCTCTTCTGCAAACGCAGAGACCCAGCTGAGCTCCTACCCAGAAAAGAAGTGCATGTGGGCAGCTGGGCAACCCCAGCAGGGAGGTTTCTTTTTGAGGATGTAGCACTGTGGAAGGAATTTGTAGATTTTGCATGCGGTAATAAATGCCAATATCCTCAGCCTCTACTCTGCTGATTTTCAGTGTGAAATCAGTGCCGGACCCACTGCCACTGAACCTGTCAGGGACTCCAGAGGCGCAGTTGGAACCCAAATAGATCAGGAGCTGTGGAGACTGGCCTGGCTTCTGCAGGTACCAGTGCAAATAGGTGTATCCATCACTATGCAGGAGGCTCTGACTAGACCTGCAGGAGATGGAAGCCGGCTCTCCAGGGATGACAGGCAGGGAAAGTGGAGTCTGGGTCATCACAATATCCCCACTGGATCCTGAATCAATGAGAGAAAAGTACGAAGTTGTGTAAAAACATTATGAGCTTAAAAACATTTTGCTTATAATATTGATTTATTTTTTAAAAAATAATTTTGATTCACATCACAAAAAATAAACTTTTAACAATGAGCCCATTATTTACTAGGTACAAGAGATCCTTTTATTTTTCAAGATAGTATTCAGAGTACTGGTCGTTGTTCCTTTCAGATAGTTTCTAATTATTCACAGGGCAAAGTGTAAATTCCCTTCCCTGAAACATAAGCCATACACCTCTAACACTTGGTCAGAATAAGCATGGGATACTGTGGAGTCCCAGAGCTCATCCTTCCACCCCATGCGCCACACTCATCTTCTTTTGTTCTTACCAGGCACCCAGAGCATCCATAGCCACGGGAGCTGAGCAGAGAGCCTCATTTTGAGAAATTGAATACAGGAGTCCTGATTAGTGAAGGCAAGGTTGTAGCTGAGCTTTTATCTCAGACTGACAAGAGAAGGTCCTTCCTAGGGGACAATATGCAAGTCCTCTGGTGGGTGCAGGGGTGTGGAAACAGCCAGTCAGGGAGAGGTATGTTTATCCTGTGAGCAATGTGACATCAATTGTCCTTTGAAGGAAGACAAAGAAAGATGAAGTCATATTTGCCTATACTGATGTGAATAAGGATCTCGCGGTGGAAGTTGGGACGTTGGGCCGGGAAACACTGTGTAGTGCATGCCATGCTGAGAAAGCAGAAGGACCCTGATGATGTAGAAATGTGTGTCTAGGATGCATCTCTGGAAGGTGAGTGCCATTCTGCATGGCTTCCTCCCAGTCAATCAATCTAGAGAAAGAAACAGCCCCACCCCCACAAGCACGGACACGCGGAGAGCCTGCAAATAAAAAGTGGTCTCGAGCCACTTCAACAGCGGTCTGGTATCTGCTATTTCCAGGATAACTGTTCAAGAATGTTCGATGCAAGTGCTGGGATCTTCCCTCTGCTGGCACCGGATGAGTGAGCCTCATTAGAGCACTCCGGCCAACGGCCTCACAGGGGGAAGGATGTGAGTCTCTACATTTAGAGCCGAGAGCCCAGCTTGAGTAAGAGGAAACCAGGCAGGAATTTTATGCCTCGGGTGGTGAATATGGGATTCCTGATGAGCAATTGTTGAACCTGGAATACATCCCATCCTAATCATCTCACCTATACCAGATTAACCAGAGGGTGCTCTTGGAAGAGAAGAATTTCATAGGCTTATGATGAGAATAAACAAGAAATACATTTTGCCATGCAACTTTTAAACCTAACAGAAATGACTCATTGGAATTTTAATTGCACTTGCTATAGAATCCTTTATCTTGACATAAATCATCTCACGTATAATTTAAACCCTTAGCCTGCATCAGGATCTTGTTCTATTGATTCAATCAGTCTTTTGTGTCTCTACACTGTATTATTACATGTAATGGACATCACTCATTACTTGAATTCATGTAAATTTATTTGGCAGAGCAATCAGATCATGGATGCAGCTTAGTGGTAACACAAGTGAAACACATGTTAGAAATGACTGGCTTGGGAATAATTTTCTACAAGAAAACACTTGGTCATATTGGGAAATTGCTGTCTTCCAGTTTTCAAAACTTTCTCTCTCCTTTACCAACTCACACGAAACTGCCATCCGTAGTATTATGGTGGAGAAAGCGCTATTACTTTTTTAACAGAAAGCGTTTCTGTTAGGTTTAAAAGTCGCATGGAAAAATGAATATAGATATTTATCAGACTGTAGCCCTTATATTAAGAAAGCATAGACTGGGCACAGTGACTCACGTCTGTAATCCCAGCACTTGGGGAGGCCGAGGCGGGTGGATCACGAGGTCAGGAGATCGAGACCATCCTGGACAACATGGAGAAACTCCATCTCTACTAAAAACATAAAAATTAACTGGGTGTAGTGGCACGCACCTGTAGTCCCAGTTACTCAAAAGGCTGAGACAGGACAATCACCTGAACCCAGGAGGCGGAGGCAGCAGTGAGCCGAGATCGTGCCACTGCACGCCAACCTGGTGACAGAGTGAGATTCCGTCTCAAACAAACAAACAAACAAACAAAAATGTAAATTTAGAGCACTATTGTCAATGGAATCTATTAAGAGCATAATTTTTCAAGGCATTTACAACTAAAATACAGGATTCAGGTTTATTTTCATGAAAAAAGTGTCATATAAAAATAACGCATTTATTCATTCTTTGAATCATTTTCTTATGACAACATAGCACTAAATATTTCCTCTCTAAAATACTGTCAGTAAAATACTTGTGAAATTCTAAGAATTTGAGAAGGAAATAAAAATCTCATACAATTCTGCATTTTTTCTGTGGTACATTACGTAAACTTTATGTTTTCCATCTGAATTATGTTGTTTATTTTCAAAGCCCACTATTAGAATTGCAAGAACTCCATTTTCAGTCAGCAAAACGTAATTGAGGCAAATCAAGCTATTTTAGTATTAGGATTTATATCTGACTTGGGTTTTAAAAATCTATAAGTACTAAAAAAAAAAAATCAAACATTATAACTAATTATTCTTAGTCATACTCCCGTGAGGACAGCTGGTGCAGAATGTTTTCTCCACCATAATACTAGAGAAGGCAGTTTCCTGGGAGTGGTAAAAGAGAGAGAACATTTGGAAAATTGGACAATAGCAATTTCCCGGTATGACCCAGTGTTATCATGTATAAAGCTATCCCCGAACCAGTCGTTTCTAACATGTACTTCACTGTGTTACCACTAACCTGCATCCATGATCTGATTGTTCTGCCAAATAAATGGACTCGACAAATGTGGGCCAGACAGGGAGGGTGAGGATGAGCTTTCATTCACTCTCCCTTCATCAGAGCTGGTTGCTCCTAGAGCACGTGGCCACCTGTGGCAGCTGATGGGGCCTTAACATATGGAACTGAAACACAGCTGTGGCTCTCATGGGCCAGAGTCCTCAGCAGCAAACTCTGCCCTGTATTCTCCAACAGCCTCCTCTTCTGCAGTCTCAGAGACCCTGTCGAGCTGCTCCCCAGACAAGCAGTGCATGTGAGCATCTGGGACACCCCAGCAGGGAGGTTTCTGTTCGGGTCTGTACCACTGTGGAAGGAGACCGTAGAGCTTGCATGCAGTAATAAACCCCAACATCCTCAGCCTCCACCCTGCTGATTTTCAGTGTGAAATCAGTGCCTGACCCACTGCCACTGAACTTGTCTGGGACTCCAGAGGCCCGTTTGGAAACCAAATACATCAGGAGCTGTGGAGACTGGCCTGGCTTCTGCAGGTACCAATCCAAATAGGTTTTTCCATCACTGTATACAAGGCTCTGACTAGACCTGCAGGAGATGGAGGCCGGCTCTCCAAGGGTGACGGGCAGGGAGAGTGGAGTCTGGGTCATCACAATATCCCCACTGGATCCTGAAATAATAACAGAGATGTGCAAAGTTATATAGACACATTATAAGCAACTTTCATTATTTCCCTAAGAAACTGATTTTGTAGTTACATATTTTTAACAAGTTTTGATTTATATCATAAAAAGTAGGCTTTTTAAAATGAACCTATTATTTACTAGCCAACAGGGAACTCTTCAGTTTCAAGATATTAATCAGAACACTGGTCATTGTTCTTGGGAGATGATTCATGCTTATTCTTGAGACAAAAAATATGAATTTATGAATTTTCATTCCTGGAGCAAAGACCATGGGCCTCTAACACACAGTTGAAATAAATATAGGAAGCTGTGGTGCCCCCAGAACTCACCCTCCCACCCTGTTTTCCCATCTCATTTTAATCCTCTCCTTACCAGGGACCCAGAGCATTAGCAGTCCCAGGAGCTGAGCAGGGAGCCTCATTGTGAGAAGATGACCTGAGGAGTCCTGATCAGTCAAGGCAAGGTTAGAGCTGAGCTTTTATCTCAGACTCACAAGGAAAGGTCTTCCCTAGGGGACAACATGCAAATCACCTGGTGGGTGCAGCAGTGTGAAAAGGGTCAGTGGTGTAGCGGGGGATGTCTCTTCTGTGAAAAATGTGACATAAAATGTTCGTTGGAGCAAAACAAACATAGTTCAAGTCAAGTTTGCCTGTGGTCAAGGGAAGAAGGCTCTGACTCTGAAAGTTGGGACCTTAGGCAGGGACCCATTGTGCAGTGCATGCCACACTGAGAAAGCACAAACACCCTGACAATGTGGAAATGTGTTTCTAGGATGCATCTCTGGGAGGTAAACGTTATCCTGCATGGCTCCCTCCCAGTCAATCTAGAGAAGAAAACAGCCCCGTTCCCACAAGCACTGATGGGCAGAGGGCCTGCAAATGAAAAGTGCTCTTGAGCCAGTTCAAGTGTTGGCTGGTGTCTGCTGTTTCCTGGGTAACTGGTCAACATTGTTCAATGCAAGGGTTAGAATCTCCCCTTCTCTGGCACCTGATGAGTGAGCCCCATGAGAGTGCTCTGTCCAAGGGCCTCACAGGGAGAATGATGTGGGTCTTTACATTTAGAGCCAAGAGCCCAGTGTAAGTAAGAGGAAAGGGCGCAAGAATGTTATGCCTGAGGCAGTGAATATAAAATTTCTGGTGACCAACCTTTCAATCTGGGATGTATCCCATCATGATCATCTCACATGTACAAGATTAACCAGCAGGATCTCATAGGGAAGAATTTCCTAGGTTAATGATACAGACAAATAAGAAGTAACATTGCATGATGTTTTTCTGAGTGGTGCTTAGGAAAACTTCTCACACAGTCTCCCTGGTCATGTGTGATCAGGTCCTATCAGGGCTTCCAGGTTCTTGCCAACTCTGAGTGAGACCTGAGTCTCCTCCAGCCTGGATGTGGTGTATCCACCTGCCATGAGTCTGCAGTTGAGAAGGAAATTGTCTACGTGAGAAGAGCAAGGACTGCATCTACAGTTTTATGTCTCAGGATAACCTGTACCTGAAACTGACATTCTCATGGTTTCATGTAACGACGTGCACTGCTCAGGGATGTGAGTCTGCCCCACAGCTGATCATTACAAAGGGAAACAATCTCATGTTTCTTCATTTGTTAGTGATGTACTTAATACTTAATTGAACAGCTCCTGAATAATGGTGTCAGCTCCAAACACTATCACAAGGACAGTCACGTTTCGGAAAAAAAAAAATGCAAAAACAAAACAAAACAAACAAATGAAAAAACAAAAAAACCAGGAACAATTGAAATACTAGCTTGCAGTGCTGTGTAATCTTGGGTAATTTGACAGAAATTCTTATTTAATTGCCCAAGAATACAAATAAATGAAATTCTAGGTAAGATTCCAGAGGAAAGCTTGGTTTAAATATCTTCACAAATATTTTTGAGGAATTATTTTGAGTGAAACCATGCAAAGCATACTTTTTCCATCCCACTACCATTAGAATATGGGAGTCAGGTTTATTTTCAGGTAATGACCACATCGTGTAAAAATTATACATTCACTTATTTCAAAACCTTTTATTGCTTTTTGTGATAATTTAGAACCCAAATTGTCATTTCTAAATGACTAGTAAGTTTCAAAAGGAAGCTTCCCATTCCGGGACAACGATGTGGGGTCGAAAGGCTAAGAGAACCACTGCAAGAACCTGGAGAGAAAACAATACAAAATTTTATATTAATAACATCAGAGAATGGTGGAAGAAATGAGAACGAAGTGACCTGAAATTCCAAAGTGAATAGGATCCCTTCTGGCTGAGCTGATGCTCTCCTGACATTTTGTCCTCCTGCCAAATCTGCCAAGTTTGCATGTGGACACAAGCTCTGTCTTGGCACAGGCAGAGGAAGTCTCCCAGGAAAAATGAATTGGGTTGACCCTCAGGAGTTGCACAGGGAAGCCTCTTTACAGGCCTGTATCCTCCATGGGGGCATTTGCTGAGCTCTGAGTCATCAGGCAGCTGGAGGAGATGGGCTAGAAGAACATGAAACTCCCACAGACTCAGCGTGTTCTTCCAAATCCTCAGACTTGCACAGAACACTCTGAATACATGTCTGAATCATGGACATCGTTCTGGATCCCCACTGCCCCTCCTGCTGGTGTAGACTGTGCTTGGCCTTCCGCTCAGCATGTCAGTGTTTGTGACATCTCCAGACCCAACCAGTGGTCTCTGCTAAACCTCCTCTAGGGGCAGAATGAGTTTCAGAAGCTCTGCTTGGCTGTCGTGATTTGACTTGGACTGAATGACATGATGTCAGGTCTCCTTGCACAAGGACTTCACTAAACCTTTGGTGATTACAGACCTAAAACTCTATTCATGACATTACTTTCCTTTGGGACTCCTGGTGGCACAGGCTCCACCCAGGAAGCCAGGCAGCAGTGCCTTTAACTCTGTGATTCTTCACAAGAAACATATTTGGACCCTTTGTGGGTCCACATCAACTGCCATGCCCACCACCATCCACATCCCCACCCACCATAAACCAAGAGCAGTTTAACTGAACAATAGCTGACCTCTCCTGTATCCCCTCATGCCCCACTTCCTGCAGTCTGTCCAATCTTGAATTCTGAACTTTGCGGAATAAAAAAGTTTACGACATCTTTTATTTTCCCAGTGATCCATGGAAAATACTACATCTTTAGTATACTACATCTTCCAAGATTTGGAATTTCAAGAACCCCCGTTTTCTGTCAGTGAGAGGCAATTGTAATAAAAAGAAAAAGTTTCAGTATTAGTATCTTGTATCTGCTATGAAATTACAAAATCTATTGGACACTCACTACCAAGATGTTACTGATTGTCCTCAGCCAGCTCCCTCTGAGGAGAACTAGTGGAGAATGCTGTCTCTACTGTCTTAGGGAGTGGGCAATGAGTGCTAAGCAGAATAAGCGGAAGTTACAAAAAAAAAAAAGTAGGAAAATGCCAATTTTAAATATAACCAAATATTTTCTTAAAAATATGGCTAGGTGCGCTGGCTCGTGCCCATAATGCCAGCACTTTGGCAGGCTAAACCCAGTAGATCACTTGAGGTCAGGAGTTTGAGACCAGCCTGGCCAACATGGTGAAACCCTGTCTCTACTAATAATACAAAAATGAGCTGGGCGTGTTGGTGAGAGCCTGTAATCCCAGCTACTTGAAAGATGAGGCAGGAGAATCGCTTGAAACTGGGAGGCAGAGGTTGCAGTGAGCTGCGATCATTGCTCCACTGCCCTCCAGCCTGGGCGACAGAGAGAGACTCTGTCTCAAAAAAAATCTATCCCTATCTCTATCTCTATCTCTATCTCTAGGTATCTATCTCAAACTGTTAAACCCTAAGATGTATTCAATGTGTTTTGCCACAAATGATCAATTGTCTGGCGTTTTGCTGAATAAATTTAATAAACAACTGTAAGCAAGGAGGGAGGATGAAGATGAGTTTCCATCCTCCTTTCCTTTTCGTCCTGATTTTTGACTCACAGGGCCCTAGTACCTCCTCATACTCCTGCTACTTATGACAGCCAAGGCTGTGTCAGGTGACAGGAACATCAACAAGAGCGGGAATCTGGTGCGATGGCTCATGCCTCTAATCCCAGCACTTTGGGAGGCCGACTTGGGTGGATGACTTGAGCCCAGGATTTCAAGAGCAACCTGGGCAACATGGTGAAACCCCATAACTACAAAAAAAATTACAAAAATTAATCAGGCTTGGTGGCATGCACCCTGCGTTTCCAGCTACTCTGTAGGCTGAGGTGGGAGAATCACTTGAGCTTGGGATTTCAAGGTTGCAGTGAGCCATGATCACACCGCTGCACTTCATGCTGGGTAACAGAGTGAGACCCTGTCTTGAAAAGATAAAGAAGTAAATAAACAGATTGTGCTTGAGGTGCAGCTGAGGATTCATGGCCCAGAGTCCTCAACAGCAAACCTGAGTTCTCCAATAGCCTCCCATTTTGCAGACTCAGAGACCCTGCTCAGCTGCTCCCCAGACAAGCAGCACATGTGGGCAGCTGGGCAACCCCAGCAGAGAGGTTTCTATTTGAGGATGTAGCACTGTGGGGGGTCATTGTGTAGTCTGCATGCAGGAATAAACCCCAACATCCTCAGCCTCCACCAGGTTGATTTTCAGTGTGAAATCAGTGTCTGACCCACTGCCACTGAACCTGTCTGGGACTCCAGAGGCCCGGTTGGAAACCTCATAAATCAAGAGCTGTGGAGACTGGCCTGGCTTCTGCAGGTAGCAATGTAAGTAGGCGTTTCCATTACTATGCAGGAGGCTCTGACTGGACCTGCAGGAGATGGAGGCCGGCTCTCCAGGTGTGACGGGCAGGGACAGTGGAGTCTGGGTCAACAGAATGTCCCCACTAGTTCCTGGAATGATGACAGAAAAGGGCAAAGTTACATAAAAATATTATGTATCACGTTCATAATTTTCGATTTATTATTCCAGCCTATATAATTTCTTTGCAATTTCAAGAATATCCAGTTTCAAAAAGAACTCAACAGGCACAAAGAGGTCTCCTATACCATCACCCTCTTTCTAAGACTTGAGTTTCTTCAGGGCATATATCCTTCCTTCTTCTAAAGTCTTCCTCACTCTCAGAGATCAGTACATCGTATGTTTCATGCTGGAGAAGAAGACCTACACATCTAACATGTGGATGGAACACACATGGGAGGCAGTGGGGCCCCCAGAGCTCACCCTCCCACCCCATTCTCCTCCCTCATCTGCCTGCTGTCCTTACCAGGGACCCAAAGCATTAGCAGTCCCAGGAGCTGAGCAGGGAGCCTCATTGTGAGAAGGCGACCTGAGAAGTCCTGATCAGTCAAGGCAAGTAAGAGCTGAGCTTTTATCTCAGACTCACAAGGGAAGGTCCTCCCAGGGGATAATATGCAAATCCCCTGTGGGTGTAGTGGGGTGGAAAGAGCCAAAGGGATGGTGGGAGCCTCTCTTGAGGGCAAAATGACTTAAATATTGTCTCTGTTTAGAGAGACCAATAGAGATAAAATCTATGCCGCATGAGTAAGATAAATTCCCTTTTCCCTTTGTCTTCTCTCTTAGATTTCTTGTTTCTTAGAATTTCCCAGGTGAATTTCTCACTTCTCCTTAGTAAGGTTAAGATTCCATAAACATATGATGATTCTTATTTTTTTATTCACATTGAATTAAGAGTAAAGGATTGGCTTCTTAAATTTTTTAATTGATATAAAACACTCACAAAGGATAGAAATGTTAAATATGCAACTAAGTTTTAGGTATGTTCTCCATCCGGATGAATCTCTAGAATATTTCAAATTCTCCAGACTCATCCGTGGTGCAACTTCCCAGGCAACAATTGCTCCCCCATCTCAATCAAGGTAACTGGTATTCAGATATTCATTATAATATTTGGTTTTCCCTGTGCTACAATCTCCTATAAATTGAAATAAACACTTTTGTTTGACTGTTCCTTGCTTCTTTCTTGTTTATTATTTTTGAAGTATTCTTTTCTCCCTGTGCATTCAAGCCACTATCTGCTGTGATTTCCTGTGATTTTGAAGAATTTCCTCTTGAATGTCTTATAGAGCACATCTCTGCAAGTAATCATTCCTCTTCATTTTCTAATAAAGAAATGTTTTTACTTTACCTTTATTTTTGAAGCATGTTTTAACAGGATATTGAACCATTTGTTGAGTACCCCCGACCTAGCATATAAATATGTAATCCCACTGTCTTCTAGCCTCTATCAGTCTCTGAACACTTAGCCAGTTATTTCATTATTGTGTTTCTGGTATAATGAGACAGTTTTTTCTTGATACAATTGAGATTTTCTCTTTGTCTGGTTCATCATTTTAACTATAATATGTACAGTTGTAGTTTATCCTGAACGGTTATACTACTATTTAGGGTAATGCATGGTATTTACCCTGAATAAGTTTCATTATTTTTTCTGTGTTTTCTTTTTTTTTTCTTGATCCTGCAGACCAATGTCTTTTATTACTCTTGATGTATTTGCCATTGTTTCTCAGCACTCTCAGGTATGCCATCTCCCAGTGATCCTTTCTGTGTGGTTTTTCTCTGTGTTTCACTCCACTGTGTGGCTGGATATTTTCTATTTGTTTTATGTCTTAGGCAATTTCCACAGCGGCCACAGGACCAGGCTCTGGAGTGCGGGTGCACTTGGAGTGACAGTGCATTTGGAGTGACAGCAACCCTGGGCCTGGGCCTGGGCTGGTCCACATGGAGGTGGCTCAGTGTCTGAGTTGCCAGCACTGGATGAGGCCCTGGAGCTTGGGTTTAGGGCATTGAAGCCCCATCCTAGGTGGCACAGCAGGGGATGCTTCTTGAGAGGGTGTGGGAGGAGGGTTTCACAGCATCGTCCTCTCTGGGGTGGTGTGATTATAGCTGCAGGTTACCTTAATGCCAAAAGCAGCAGTGTCCTCTGTGGCGCAGGCTGCTATAATCCTCAACAATGAACCCTAATGGGCCTCTTCTGGGAATGTTGTAGGGTCGGGGCTGCCTGGGGGTTTACTTAGGTCATCAGCTGCAAAGGCTGCAGAGTCCTTTACAGAGCAGACCATGGGGACTGCAGTGGCCCTGCCTCCTGGCTGATAACAATTGCCTCCTGCTTCTTTCATCTTAGAGGTCTCAGGACTCTCAGGCATGCCATCTTCCAGCAACGCTTTCTGTATGGTTATTCTGGGCGTTTTTCCTAATTGTGTTTCTGCACACCCTTAATTGGGCTCTTGAACACTCCAAGGGCTATTTGCCTTCTTGGATAGCTGTACAATTGCTGGTCTTGCCTTTGTTTTTGTGTTTGTATTTTTTGGGTAAGCAGGCAAAGGCTGGTGTCTCCTAGTCAATCATCTCGCTGGTATCAGTCCCCTAGGACATCGTTTTGATGAGGCAGTAACACTATCATGGAATAATACTTGGGCATGCTGAGGTGAGAATTAGAGTGTTTAGCATGTGGGAGGATTGTGAATTGCTTTGGTCACAGGGTGGACTGATGCCTGTTGTATTCTCCCACATGGCTGTGACAAGTTTTTTGTATTTTTTAGTAGAGACGGAGTTTCACCGTGTTAGCCAGGATGGTCTCGATCTCCTGACCTCGTGATCCGCCCGTCTCGGCCTCCCAAAGTGCTGGGATTACAGTCTTGAGCCACCACGCCTGGCCTCTTATCTACTTCTAACCTGGAAGCCCCAACTTTGAGTTGTCCTACCTCACCAGACCAAACCAATGTACATGTTACATATATTGATTGATGTCTCGTGTCTCCCTAAAATGTATAAAAGCAAGCTGTACCCTGACAACCTTGGGCACATGTCATCAGGACCTCCTGAGGCTGTGTCACAGGAGCATCCTTAACTTTGGCAAAGTAAACTTCCTAAATTGACTGAGCCCTGTCTCAGATATTTAGGGTTCACAGGAATGATTTCAGACACCCCAGGGAGAGGTGCCTCTAATGCGTGGCTCCTGGCCTGGTCTCAGACTAGACCGTAAGCTCCCTCATTTTTGTATCCCCAGTGCCTGGCACTTGAGGACCCATGATATGTATTTTTGGCTTTGTTGAACTGTTTAATGAACTCATTAGTAATGCAAAGGTCTAACTGCATATTTACAGATATTTATGTGTGCACCACATTATGAGTGGTGAGAAGTAGGAATTCAAAGAGACAAAATCATACTTTCCCTCCCCACAATGCTTATAAAGCCATGAAGAAGACAAGACATAGACACATCGAATATAAATAAAATACAAAAGGATATACCCTGACATGCCAAATATGTGTTCACATAACCAAAGTTCCTCTTGCCAAATTCCTGCCGTCTAAAGCAGTTTATCCTAAAACATACTCTTCAGAATACCAGTTTCTCAGGGTGCCAATGTGACAAAAAGCTTTGGTGGTCAGATGAGTTCAGGGCTGGGTTAGGCTGATTTCTTTACCAGAGGGTTTCTTGAAGACTTAAAGAAATCTGTTTTGAGATATAAATTGTATAGCATAAAGTTCACCCACTTTAAGTAAACAACTCGTGGCTTTTAGTATAGAGTTGTGCAGCCATCCCCACACTGTCACTGCAGAACATTTCCATCACCACCCAAAACACCTCATGCTGTTTGCAGCCATTTCCCATCCCCTTCCTTCCTAGCCGCTGACAACCACTAATTTACCTTCTGCCTCTATAGATTTGCCTATTCTGGACATTTCACATAGATGGAATCATTTACTGTGTGACCTTCTGCAATCAGCTTCTTTCATTCAACTTAATGTTTTCAAGGTTCATCCACATTGTCACATGTGTGCACTGATGGACATTTGAGTTGTTTCCACTTTTTGGCTATCATAAATAACATTCTTATAAACATTCATGAGCAAGTTTTATTTGACCTATGTTTTCAGTTCTCTTGGGTCTATACAGAGGAGTGAATTCCTGGGTCATACTGTGAATCTATTAAACCTCTTTTCTGTATAAATTACTCTCTGTCAGGTATTTCTTCATAGCAGCATGAGAATGAATGAATACAGTAAATTGGTACCAAGGTAGTGGGGGATTGCTATAAGATACCTGAGAATGTGGAAGCAGCTTTTGAACTGGGTAATGGGCAGAGGTTGGAACGGTTTGGAGGACTCAGAAGACAGGCAGATGTGGCAAAGTTCGGAACTTCCCAGAGACTTCTTGAATGGCTCTGATAAAAATGCTGATAGTGATATGGACAATGAAGTCCAGGATAAGGTGGTCTCAGATGGAGATGAGAAACGTATTGGGAACTTGAATAAACATGATTCTTGCTATGCTTTAGCAAAGAGACTGGCAGCATTTTGCCCCTGCCTTAAATATCTGTGGAACTTTGAACTTGAGAGACAGAATTTAAGGTATCTGGCCAAAGAAATTTCAAAGCAGCAAATTGTTCAAGAGATGACTTGGGTGCTCTTTACAGCCTTCAGTTTTATGCACTTACAAAGGTATGGTTTGGAATTGGAACTCATGTTTAAAAGGGAAGCAGAGCACAAAAGTTCAGAAAAATTAACCAGAAGGAATTAAACCCCATAGCTGCTTGATGAAGTGGGAGAGGTGGATAAAAAAGACAGAGAAAAGATGCAAAATACACAATCCATCATTTAAAAGGGGGAAATTATTACAGAGCCCAGGATAGCAAACACATAAAAGTAGAATAGAATGAAAAAAATTATGGCAACTATTTTGACTAAACTAAAAAGAAATCTATAATGAAAACTTTTCTATAAGGAAAATTTCAATCTTATATTTGGTTTACTGATGACTGGAACAAACTTTGTGAAAATTACACAAACTTCAAGATAATTAAAAAGAAGGAAATGTTTCCAGAATTATTATATGTGGTCACAATAAACTTCATTTCTAAAACGAATAAAAGCATTAAAAACAGAAAATTAATTCCTGCATCTGACATGAACACAGATGTAAAAAGCATAAAAAGCACATATATGTGTAGTTCCTATATATATATATATTTGAAATATCTATCTACATATATCTGTATATATATAGGTGTTTATAGATATCTAAATACATCTAATCTGTATATATGTAAATATACATATATGTGTGTTAAGGTACATATATGTATATATAAATGCATATCTGTATATAGCTGTATATGTATGTAGTCATATATTAAATTATATATGCCTATAAAATATAATTTCTGTATATATCTATATATTAAGAAGTAGATGTAGCAATATACGTTATAGCTCTTATGCTTAAAACTCAGGCAAATGTTAATAATTGCAATTTCTGAGTGACAGTCATAAAATGAAAGGTAGGACA